CAACACTAGTATTGCTGAAGGGGCCAATAATATTGACCTTAAAATGACTTTAAAACAATTAAAAACTGCTTTTATTTCCAGCCAAAATAAAACAAATAAGACTTTCTCCAGAAGAACAAATATTAGAGGAAACACTGTGAACAATTCCTGAATCTGTTCAACATCATCTGGGAAATATTTAAAAAAGAAAACGAAACTCACAAGAGCGCTAATAACATTGCCTTCAGCTGTACATGTTTAATTTCTGGAATATTAATGTTTGCATAAGGACGCGCTCATCATTATAGGCGCCATCATTCAGCAGTCATAAACACAGTCCTGTAATGCAAGCGACAAACAGGAGCGGAGCTGGAAATAGGGCAGAAGAGGACCTGTTTGAGAGCAGGCGGATGTGTTTATGAGGTGTCTAATGAGTTTGGCAGCTCAGTGCATCAACTCCAAATGATGAACACATTTGCATATAAATAGTACAATCATTTTTAAGAGCCGCTGACGGAGAACAAGCTGTAACAAGTGAATTAGCATCCCATCATCATCCCTGCGCCGCTCTGCTGTTCTGCATTCTGGCTATGTGGAGCTTCGTTATGGCTGATCATTTACTACATCACAGCTGCAACGGCGTGTCGTCGCTTCATTGCTGGATTATGCTAATTCTGTTTGCATTGTTATCAGTTACAGTTGCCATAGCAACCCGATTTCAAAGACTTGAAATAAAGGGTCATGAAAGCCCCTCCTTCAGTTCAAGTCTACCACAGAGTTTTCAAAAAATGCTCCATGATGGGCGTGGAGCTGTGAGTAGAGGGAGGAGTGGGCGTAACCTTCCAGCCGCAACCAAACACTGGGAAACATTCATACACACTCATTCACTCACACACATAATCATACACTAGTGCCAATTTAGTCAATCAACTCCCCTATAGCGCATGTGTTTGAACTGTGGGGGAAACCGGAGCACCCTGAGGAAACCCACGCGAACGCAGGGAGAACATGCAAACTCCACACAGAAACACCAACTGACCCAGCCGGGACTCAAACCAGCAACATTCTTGCTGTGAGGTGATAGTGCTGCCCACTGCGCAACTGTGATGCCCTTTAATATAAAATATAACCACAATTAGTTTAATCACTATAAAGATAATCATGTTTATATGAACACTATACATGAGGAGGACTTCTCTCCTCCTCAATCCCCGGGTCTGAATGCAGACCAAGGTTATAATAGTTTTGGATTTTTCATTAGTTTTAGTTTCTATTTTGTTTTGACTTTTTATTTTTAAACTTAGTTTTAGAGGCAGATTTCTTAGTTTTTATTAGTTTCTATATTTTAAAAAATGTCTTAGTTTTAGTTCAGTTTTTATTAGTTTCAGTTTTTTTTTTTTCTAAATAAAGACATTTGTTACATGCAATATTCTAAACCAATAGGGTAAACATTGTATAATACAAACTCAGTCATACATCTTTTGAAACCTGTATTCAGAAAACACATGAACACTAACATCTACCTCAACCATCTACCCATCCTCAAATTCAAATACAACAGCCCACAAGACAGCAGTCTTAAAGGGTCACGAAACACCAGAACACATGTGTTGAGCTGTTGACAGTGGTATATGTGTCCCACACTGCTAAAAACACTATTAGGACACCTATATTTCACTATAAAGTGTAAATTGGTTGTTTTTGCGTTATTTCAAGCAAATTCGTACTTCCGGTTTGAAACGAATTTTTGAAGCTGCGTCACGGTCATGACATAATAGCGTGTATTCCAGCGTGCAGACTGGACGTCTGTGCCAGAGTGAGTCTTATTACGTCTTACAGTGTGCTGCATTAATGCATGAGTAAGGCTTGGTTCAAACCAATCAGCGCGCTCTATTCTGCAACTTCATTAATATTCATTACTGTCACAGTGTTTAGACGACAGAGACGCCACGTTGTGTTGGCAAAACAAGCGTGAAGTGTTGCTTTTATAGTTTGCTGCAGTGAAGTTTTGTTTTCATTTTCTCTCTGTGAGAGCTCAGCTGGAGTCACGTGTGGATTAACAGTGTACGCGACGCTCCACAACAATAACTTGCGTGTCTAAGGAGGATTATTGTTTACCTGAGAGCTGTTCTCATCTGCAAACGCTGAGATCCGGATTCGCTTGTAGTCTCCTCTTAATAAAGACGCGGCTCTAGTTGCTGGTGATTGTCCTGTCTCTACAGATTTGGTAAGTGAGCGACCAGTGCTCTTTGTTTATTCAGTTTGTTCGTATCGCACTATTGCACCGAGTGTAAACATGTTAGCACCACAACCAAACTTTAACCTCGTGTAGGGTTTTTACTGCATTTAGTGACCGGAATAACACACGCGGCTTTCTGACGCTACCTGCCGTGTGCATGTAAGTTTCCGGGAAATGCGGAGGGTTTTTTTCTCTTATTTGCCGTGCGGTATCAAAATTGCATGAAAAATACACGCTTAGAGCAGATCCTCCAATCAAATATCTCGTTTGTCGCGAGGGGCATGAATGAATTCCCTGAATGAAAGAGCCAAACTGCAGTTAAAGTCCAACATTTAATAATTTGGCAAATAATTCGACCACAGATGTCCATGTAAACACAGTCACTTTCTCCCCTGTGTGTGTGTATTTTGACTCTGAAACTCAGTGCCTGCCCAAATAGACACTCCCACACCATGCCTCTTTTCTTCCTCCGACACTCCCCCCTAAACAGAGCTGGACACGCCCACTTTTCTGACTTTTTCCAAAGTAGAGGTGTGAAAACACCCTGCTGAAACGAGGGGGTTTCATGGCCCTTTAAGTACAATATGTGTGCAAGGCTGCTACTGAGGTAGGTACAGTAGTGATGGGCAGGGCCGGATGCACCAATGGGCATTATGGGCACAGGCCCAGGGGCTCGTCCGCACTTAGATTTTGCCTGCTCTTTATCACGAGCAAGACAAGTAGGAATCATTAATAAGTGTGTGTATTATGGAGGACTCAAATTCCTAGAACCGGATTGGAGAGGTGTTATATTCAAACCATGTGTATTATAAGTTTGTAGAAGTTACACATGAATCAGTACAGTATTATCGGTTCACCGCTTCTCAATGTAACGTTGCTGTTCTAATAACTGAATGAGAGTATGTATTGGATTATTCAGAGTCAGAGGGGGTATTAGGCTTGTTATAAAGTAATAAGTGGGTGGATAAGTGCTTATTGGAGACGCGATTCGTTTCAAATGATTCAGTATGATTTGGTGAACTAGTTCAACCGGCTCACTTAGAAGATCCGGTTACAAAGATTTGTTGTTAGTTATGAAGTATGCTCTCCATCTCTGATGCAGAAAAGCTAGTCCATGCTTTTATGAGCTCTAGGCTGGATTACTGTAATGCTCTGTTTGCTGGCTGCCCAGCATCCTCTATTAGTAAACTTCAGCCAGTATGCAAAATGCAGCAGCCAGAGTTCTGACCAGGTCTAGAAATATGATCATATCAGCCCAATGTTCTCCTCTTCACGCTGGCTGCCTGTTCAGTTTCACATTGAATTTAAAATATTACTTCTCACCTATAAAGCTCTAAATAATCAAGCTCCTGTTTATCTAACCAACCTTCTGTCTCGCTACAATCCAACTCGCTCTTTAAGATCTCAAAACTCAGGGCTTCTGTAGTACCTAGAACAGCAAAGTCCACTAAAGGAGGTCGAGCCTTCTCATTTATGGCTCTTAAACTGTGGAATAGCCTTCCTGATAACGTCTGAGGCTCAGACACACTCTCTCAGTTGGTGGTTCGAGCCTCGGCTGGGTCAGTAAGTGTTTCTGTGTGGAGTTTGCATGCTCTCCCTGGGTTCGCGTGGGTTTCCTTCGGGTGCTCCAGTTTCCCCCACAGTCCAAACACATGCGGTACAGGTTACAAATAAAGTTGAAATCACTTTCCCGAACGCTTGCGTTCAATCTGCCCAGTTGGTGGAATGAACTCCCTAACTGCATCAGAACGGCAGAGTCACTCGCTGTCTTCAAGAAACCACTAAAAACTCAACTATTTAGTCTCCACTTCCCTTCCTAATCTCCAATTGCCTCTCTGGATATACCACTAACTGTACTAAAAAAAAAATATAAAAAAATAAATAAATAAATTTACTAATACTTTCCTTCTTAGACTTTACAAACCTGACACTTGCCTACAGCACTTCTTCATTGTTGCTCTTATAGTTGTGTAAATTGCTGCCTTGTCCTCATTTTTAAGTCGCTTTGGATAAAAGCATCTGCTAAATGACTAAATGTAAATGTAAATTTAGCCCAAACAAATAGTTTGCAACAGTTTTGCAGACCTTTTTTTCAACGTAGACAATGACAATTTAACTATTTCATGAATAAAATCTGAGCCAAACCTCGCTACAATCCAGCTCGCTCTTTAGGATCTCAAACTCAGGGCTTCTGGTAGTACCTAGAACAGCAAAGTCTACTAAAGGAGGTCGAGCCTTCTCATTTATGGCTCCTAAACTCTGGAATAGCCTTCCTGATAATGTCCAAGGCTCAGACACACTCTCCCAGTTCAACACTAGATTAAACACCTATTGTTTTAGTAAATTATACACTTAGTGGTATGATACATGAATGTGCTCCACAAATCTTGTGTATATACACTATGAACAGCAGCTACGCTAATTATTCTCTTCATTCTCTATTTCCAGCTGAGGGTACTCATCCCGAGGCCTCCAGTGCCACTATTGTGATCCAAGACCTGTGAAGAGATGATCCGAAGGTTTCCACAATTCTGGACCAGGCCGTATCCTGAGCAGCTGCTGTGGTGGTCATGGAGGAGTGGAGAGCATGAGACTGATTCCTGCGACACTCCAGGGACAGACGAGTCTTTGCTCACGCCCAGCGTTCTCCAGCTCTGCACAAGACGTTTAGCCAGAGGAGAAATGGTTGAGCCCAACTGAGTCTGGTTTCTCTCCAGGTTTTTTGTCCTTCACTTTTGCCAATTGGTGAAGTTTCTTCCTCGCTGCTGTCACCACCGCTTGCATGTTTCAGGATCTGTAGAGCTGCGCATTGATGGATTTCTCTTCAGCGTTTGGACTCTCAGAAGTGAATATTAAACCACACTGAGCTGAGCTGATCTTAGGCTGCGTTCACATCTGTAGTTCGCTTCATTTGGTCAGGACCAAGCGCAATAAATGATGCATTGTTGCATTTTCTGCCGTCTTTGGGTGGTTTTCACACCTCACTGCTGGCTTTGGTCCGAACCAGTTGAAATGAACCAAAATGCAGTCATGTGACAAAATCCACATCTCTCATTGGCCAGATGTTGTTGAACGTATTTCCTAAACTGCTAATTGATTGGTCAGAATTAACATGCCGGAAAATGCCAGTGAACTCCTGCAGGTAAACAAAACC